CAATTCTTCTTGAAGATAAAAAGCCTTTGTTCGGATATTTATCTTCTTGATTCGGAGGAATCCATTTTGGAGGCACGAATGAAGTCGCACATCATTCGTGGTTTTAAGAGGGAGTACATTCTCTATATTGTTTCTATTCAAGGGTGAGCTAGGTAGCCATCCTTGGTAGAGTTTGAGAATCTTCTTATTTCACAACAATTTTTGGCCCACTAAGTGGCCGGATTTTCAATTTTGGGAAATGATGGAGATGATCACGTATGCATGGTCTCCTTTCTAGAAAATCACTTTAAGAGGGAGTGTTAAACCTTTTAAAGTGTATTTTCTAGAAACCATATTAATTTTTATGCTATTTTATTATGAGTGATGTAGTGAGGTTGTACTTGTAAGTTTGTGTGATAAGAAGTTATGAAACTACTAAGTGGTTAGTAGTTATTATTGTAGGTTTGTAGTTATAGTTGAGGTGGGAACATTAGTTTACATGTTTTAAGGTTAATCTTGGGTATCAAGATTGTAATGCCTATGTATATCCCATGTTTTGCTTTAATGAAAGATAAGGTTTTCTTCCACTTCGTCTTGATTCTTCTTCTTCTACTTTCTATTTGATTGTGAGTCTTGGGCTAGTGTGGTATTGTCACACTAATTGAGAAGCGGATTGTTTCGGGATTGGAATCCATTACTCTCTACATGGTATCAGAGCCACAAGGGTGTTAGTGATGTTGTATTGACTCCCTTGCTGAAGAAGATTAATTATTTCTTAAGATGAATTTGGGTGGAATGATGAATGGTTTTAGCATTGATTTGCTCAATCAATCAAACTACAAGATATGGAAGTTATGTATGGAGTCTTACCTAGTTGGTGAAGACTAATAGGAAGTTGTTAGTGGATATGATAGGGATACTCCTACTCAGGAAATAATGATGCATTCAAAAAATGGAGGGCAACAAATGCAAAGGCTGAGTCCATCTTGAAGAGATTTATTTCCCATAATCTATTTGGTCATATTGTGAATTGTAAATCGGCTTGTGAAATTTGGATTATACTTGATGGTTTATTTAATAAGAAAGATGTGGCTAGATTGCAATTGTTGGAGAATGAGTTGGCTAACTCAACTCAAGGTGATATTGCCATTTCTCAATTCTTCTTGAAGATCAAGAATCTTTGTTCAGAGATTTGTCTTCTTGTTCCGGAGGAACCTATTTTGGAGGCATGAATGAAGCGGCACATCATTCATGGTTAAAGAGGGAGTACATTCCCTATGTTATTTCTATTCACGGGTGGGCTACGTAGTCATCCATGGTAGAGTTTGAGAATCTTCTTATTTTACAAGAATCTTTGGCCCGCCAAATGGCCGAATTTTCAATTTCAGAAAATGATGGAGATGATCACATATACATAGTCTCCTTTCTAGAAACTCACTTTAAGAGGGATTGTTAAATTTGTTAAAGTGTATTTTCTAGAAACCATATTAGTTTTTATGTTATTTTATTACGAGTGATATAGTGAGGTTGTACTTGTGAGTTTGTGTAATAAGAAGTTATGAAACTACTAAGTGGTTAATAGTTATTGTTGTAAGTTAGTAGTTATAGTTATAGTTGAGTAGTTATTGTAGGAAATATGGTTGTAAAAACCTCTATTTAAAGAGAGGCTTGTAGTGGGAATATTTGTTCACATGTTTTAAGGTTAATACCGGGTGTCAAGGTTAATTATCCCGTGTTTTTCTTTAACGAAAGATAAGGTTTTTTTCCACTCATCTTGATTCTTCTTCTTCTTTCTATTTAGGTGTGAGTCTTGGGCTAGTGTAGCATTGTCCCAGTTATTGAAAAGCGGATTGTTCTGGTGTTGTGGAATCCGTCTTTCTCTACATAACACACACCACACCCCTGTGAACAACTCCATGTGCTACTACCTACCTTCCAAGCCTTATCACTACTCTCTCTCTCTTTATCTCTCTCTCTGAGCCATATAATTGAAGACCAAAAACTCTATATAAACCCTATCTCTTACACATAGCTCACATCCACTTCTCTCAACTACTTCCCATTCCATTCTTACACAGTTAATTTATCCTCATTGGAGCTATGATCTACTCTAAGAGACTTTTACAAATGGCTCACAAATGGCAAAAGCATGCCATTAAACAAAGAAGGAGAATCTCCTTTGAAAAGAGAACTCCTAATCGGCGAGGGGGTTTGTTAGCCGATGAAGGCCACTTTGTCGTCTATACAATAGATGGAAGCCGGTTCATGATTCCATTGGCTTATCTCAACCACCTCATCTTTCAAGAGTTGCTATCTATGGCGGAAGAGGAGTTCGGATTCACAATATGTGGTCCTTTGCAAGTGCCATGTGTGGCATCTGTTATGGACTACATAGTCTCCCTATTGAGCAAGAATGCTTGTGTGGACAAGGAGAAGGCAATGGTTTCGATAACATCATGCATAAAACCTTTGTCTTCCCTTGGATTGCATAGAATCATCTCTGCCAACAAAATTCTTTGTGGCTTCTAAGCTCATAACCAAGCCATCCTTCTTCCTTTTTTTTTTGTATAGATCTGTACAATTTTGTTCGAGTATAATAAAATTACACATTCATTTTATATCACCACCCTTTTCTTTCTTCACTAGTTGATATTTCTATGATTCCATTTTTGGGGTTGGCTCCCTCTTACTTGGAATCCAGAGAAACTGAGATTGGTATCATAAGTAAAATGTAACCTGCAGTAATCAGGAACCAGGCTTGGGCTTGAGTCGGCCGGGCTGGCTTGGTTGACTCGGGACCCAGCAGACACCCGGTTTGGGTATTAGAATCACAAAAAATCTTTCATCAATTGTATAAAAAATGATGTGACTCTGCTCTGCCACAGAGCCCATTATGTCACTTGTGGTTCTTTCAAAGGAGAGTCTCTTCCCCCATCTTGTGACATTCTTTTGCCATTTCCATGGCATCTACAAGAACTTGTTAGAGTTCATCATGGCTGCAATAATTGAGCAAAGGCAAACCTTCTATCAATGGGTCAAAAAAGGAGAAAAGTTGTGAATAGTGACTAGGACACGGGATTATATAGAAACATAAGTAACTGATTGAGAGAGAGAGAGAGAGAGGTTGTGTGGCAATGTGTGCAAGTGCACATGGAGTTGGGGTTTCAGTTGGTAGGCTATCATTTCTCAATGGCCATTTATATGTGACATACATTGGGGCCATGAAAGACATTTGGCCCAAGGAATATAAAGCTTATATTGAGTTCATGTGATTTTCTTTCCTATTAATACTGAATTAGTGAGGTCATAAGTATGTCTAATCAGAAGTCAGTTCAAACACATCTGATTTCAGTATTCATTCGGGTAGTTTGAGGACTTTGGCTATTTTTACAGATTTTCTTGTGTTGTTTGAGATTAAGCAGTGTGATGTGCAAGGACTTCATCAAATGAAGCAGTCGCCATGATGGATTAATCATGAAAAGCATGTTCTAGATTCAATGATTTATAATCGTGAAAAAACAGGGACAATCATGTCATTTGGCTCGTGCCACTTAAGAGAGGCCAAATCAGAAAACAACACTGTTTCCAAACCTGAACTCGAGCAATTTGGTTATTTTTAAATTCATAGAGGTACCTCTGAGTGAAGTAAAAACGGAGATGAATGATTTGTCCACCTCAATGATTTTGTAAATGAAATAAGCATTTAGTAAAAATTTCCCAAAGACATGGAATATTAGTTTGAGTGAGATGGAGACCAAAAGGAATAGGACTTGGTCTTGAGTGGTTAGCAGCTGATATCTAGCAAGGGTGCAGTTGGCATACGGATGCATCTGTAGCTGTAGAGGTAAGGTGCACCTTCAAATTTTATCATGGTATATAATTTTGCTGTAAAATGTTCTTAGGATTATCCCAAAATCTATTTTTATATCTAATTATAAATTTTAAATTGAAAAAATGGTTAAAATGAAGTAGATCTATAAACATATGAAAATCTTGAAAATGGACGGTGTAGATAATATATTTTAAAATACACTATTCCTGAGACTTAAAATCTTTTTATTTTTCATAGTCATACATCTCGATACTGAGATGATCAATCAAAGGGTTTTTCAACATTAAAACTACCTTTTTCGATGAATTTTTGAGGTGCATTTGTAGTTATACATTATAAGGTTGCATCCTTATATAAACTTTTTCCATCTAGCAATGCTACATCTCAAGTTCGATTCTTACCACTGAACTAAAAAAAAATGTATTGCACTTTGGTTTTATTGAAAATGTGTTGACTCATTGAAATTGGTGAGTCCACAGACCCACCAAAATCCACCATTGTCTAAGTTATATATAAATAAGCATGAGTCATGGGATTTAGAGTCCAAAGACCCACCGAAACCCACCATTGTCTAACTTTATATAAATAAGCATGGGTCATGGGATTTAAGCTAGGACAACGACAAGGGTTGAATGCACTTACTGCATGCTATAACATTCCGTACATTTTCGTTAAGTCCATTTCATATCATTTTCCATTTAGCCATTAGTGAAATGGTAGTCTCCCACTCAAAATACACACATACCCAAAAAGGAACAAATCAATAAGGAAAATTGTTTCATGTAGTTTGGACCGTATTTCTACATATGCAGTCCAAAAAGTGTATAGCATTCATTTTAAAGATGGACGCAAGTAGGTGTTCCATCTAAAAACAATGGAAACTAGTGGTCCAAATGTTTTCTTATTAGAGTTATTATTTATAGTTTTTAAAATTTAATTATTTTTTCATTTTCATGATCTCCATGTTAGAGATTACATGTCCTTAAAAATTAAGTCTTAAAATCCATCTCAAATAGATTTATTAAGATGCCCCCATTTCTATATATAAGATCTCGTCCACATAGAAAATGGGTTCAGAACTTCTTTCTTTTTTTCTCTCTTCACCTAGCATCACTTAAATATGTGCACTACATTCTTGTTACAAAACTCCACCATTAAATACAAAAATTCATGGTTATATATTGGAGCCATGATCAACTCTAAGAGACTTTTGCAGATGGCTCACAATTGGCAAACGCAAGCCACTAAACAAAGGAAGAGAATTTCCTTCAAGAGAACTCCCAATCAAAGAGGGTGTTCGGTAGCCGATGAGGGCCACTTTGTCATCTATACAATAGATGGAAGCCGGTTTATGATTTCATTGGCGTATCTCAACCGCCCCATCTTTCAAGAGTTACTATCCATGGCGGAAGAGGAGTTTGGATTCACGGGATGTGGTCCTCTGCAAGTGCCATGTGAGGCATCTGTTATGGAGTACATAGTGTCTCTATTGAGCAAGAATGCTTGTGTGGAGGTGGAGAAGGCATTGGTTTCCATAACATCATGCAGAGAACCTTCCCTTCCCGTGCATAGAATCGTGCCTGACAACTAAATTCTTTGTGGCTTCTAAGTTCATAACGAAAGAAGGAGCCAGGTTTGGGCTTGAGTGGTTAGCAATCTACCGTTGAACTACCCAAAGAAAAAAAAAGGAGTGATTTATGTAGCGATTCTAAATTTTTCCCTAAAATACAAAATGCTCTATTTTTAGGTGGAAAGAGAAACTGAGATTGGTATCTTAAGTAGAACGTAACCTGCACGAGAAAGGAACCAGGTTTGCACTTCAGTGGCTAGCAATTGACACTACATCTCAAGTTTGCTACTGTTGAACCACACAAAGAAAAAAAAACAGAAACAAAGAGTGATTTAGGTACGGACTCTAAATTTTTTTCTAAAATATGAAATGCTCTATTTTTAGGTGGAAATTACAAAGAAAGTCAACTCGACTTTTTTTTTTTTTATGTTAGCAAGGCATTTCCCTAAACCTCGGGGCACTGCCCAGCTAACAAAAAAAAAAAAAAATGGCCCTAAGAAAATAATTTAAAACGGTAGTTGACCAATTGTCTTTGTAACGTCTACCTATAAACAGAGCATTTCGTAATTTAGAAAACATTTTAGTGTCTGTATATAAAGCCCTAAAAAACAAAAAATTGACAATAGTCAAAAGTACAGCTAGAAGAACGGTCTTGCTGGGGAGTTCCTCATATCATAATGATGTCGAGAGATGGAAAATCCACACCCATTTGAGAAAGTATATCGTGCTCTTCAGGACCTTACATAAACCATAGACATGAGGGCGATAGGATGGTAGTCTCCGAGAGCTATAGAGAGAGAAACGGGTCGAGAGAGAAAGAAGGAGAGGGTGGGTAGAGAGAGGTAGAGAGAGAAAGTAAGAGAGTGGATCACGTGATTAAAAGAAAAAAAGGAGAAGAGAAAAAAAGAAAAAAGGAGAAGAGAAAAAAAGAAAAAAGGAGAAGAGAAAAAAAGGGCAATTTTTTTTTAAAAAAAATGCATTGACTATTTGACTGGGAGTAAATACAAGAAAAAATAATATTTAGGTTTAGGGTATAATACAAATGTATTGGGGTTAGGATATGTAGAAAGTTGATTTTGAGGGTATCTATAATTTTCGCTAAATTACGCTCCATCTATCCCTGACTCAATTGTTTTACACTCCATCGCACCTTATGGACAGTGACCCTCCACATTCGTGAGCAGGGCCTTTGTTTGATAAATTCATTTTTAAAGTGAAATTATTATGATAAAGAAGAATATTACTAAATTTAAAATTTTGAGAATTTTTGTTTTTAAAGTTATAAATAGGGGCCAAATCAACCTGTTTACTATAGGAATCGGCTAGTTTGCTACAATGAAGTGCACGGTTCTTAGGGGGAACTTGTTGGTTCTCAATAAATTGTGTGAACCGGACTAGTTCCAGTGTTCGGATTGAGCGTTTCTTATTTGGATCAGCGAATTTTAGAACTTTGAGTGATTCTATATATTTTTTGGTTTTTTTTTCTCTTTGTTCTCTATTTTTTAAAATATCATCTAAGTCAGCCGGGTTCGCTTAGTTGACTTGGGACCCAGCAGGCACCCGGTTAGGGTGTTGGAATCACAAAGCAGCTTCCATCAATAGTATAAAGAATAATGTGACCCTCCTCTACCCCAGAGCCCACTCTATCACCTGTGGTTCATTCAAAGGAGAGTCTCTTCCTCTATCTCATTACATTCTTTTGCCATGTCCATGCCATTTGCGAGAGCTTGTTAGCGTTCATCATGGCTGGAATAATGAGCAAAGAGAAACCTTCTATCAATGGGTCAAAAGGAGAAAAGTTGTGAACTGTGACTAGGAGACAGGCTTATATAGAACCATAAGGTGTACAAGTGCACATGGAGTTGGGCCTTTAGTTGGTAGGCTATCATTTCTTAGTGGCCATATCCATTTATACGTGACATACATTGGGCCCATGGAAGACAATGGTCATGCTGTTGGCATGCTAAATTTATGTGATTTTCTTTCCTATTAATAATGAAGGAATTCTAATTGTCAAGTTGTGGCACTCTCACCCTGACCATTTATGCCTCGTGCTTGTCCTTGAATTCACGTGATGATGTTCCAACATCTTTCAATGGTTTGTATACGGCCTTCTTTTTTTTCGCAAGAAAAAGAAGGTTGTGTAATAGTCAACGAACCATTGGATAGATGGGAATGGGATTAGGGCATTGGTTGTGAGGGACAGATGCCTCAACATAACATCCCACCATTCATTCCCACAGTCAACATATCAAAGAAAGAAAAAAAATCATTATGCAAACATCATCATTAGAAGCATGGCGGCACTTTCAGGAAAATTACAAGCAACCCCATGAATGAGAGGGAGTCCACCATATTGTGCTTACTCCCCTTCCCATACTACATTCATTATATTGTGCTGTTGATTAGAGTTAACAATAAAAAATATAGTTAATTGCAATTAGTGAGGTCACAAGGATGTCTAATCAGAAGTCAATCAAACACAGCTAATTTCAGTATTCATTCAAGTACATTGAGTATGTTGGCTATTTTCACCGATTTTCGTGTGTTGCTTGAAATTAAGCATTGTAATTTGTAAGGATTTCATCAAATGAAGTAGTTGCTATTATACATTAATCATGAAAAGCATGTTCAAGATTTATTACTGTGAATAAACTGGGATTACGATGTCATTTGGCTTGTGCCCATGAAAAGAGGCCGAATCACGAAAACATTATTGTTTCTTTTAAATACCCAACCTGAACTTGAGCAATTTGGTTAATTCTAAATAAAAATTCATAGAGGTATCTGTGAAGTGAAAATGTAGAGGAATCATTTGTCCACCACAACGATTTCGTAAAGTGAAATGAGCATTTAGTGAAAATTTCCAAAAGATATGAAAACTTAGACTAATTTGTGTGAAATAGAGAACATAAGGAATAGGGCTTGAGCTTGAGTGGTTAGTAGCTGATGTTTAACAGTGTTACATCTCAAATTTGATTTCTACTTAACTAAAGAAAATAAATATTGTACTTTGGTTTTATTGATCGGCACTTTTTAGAACCATATGATCTGACAACATTGCCATGCATAGGCCTTATATGATCTGACAACAATCACCATATGCACGGGTCACCTAAATATGGTTCCAAGTGTCTGCTCCAATTACAAGTTTATTATTGCATAGTGCATTCATAATAGAGAGGTTACTTTTTTATCCAACTACTCCAAAATTATAAATAATGTAAAATATTATTTGGACCACCTATTTTTATATGTGTGTACATCTGATTCATTTGAACCATTTTTGGAGTTCAAAATTTTGTAATTAGAAATAAAAATAGTTTCTCTCACTATTTTTAAAAATTTCGACACCCAAATTACATCTCAAGACAAAATTTGAAAGTACACCGTAATTTGTTTGTTAATGGTGGCAACCTTATACAAACCACACCCAATTTTAAATAACAAAAATATTAAAAACACATTGAAATAGCCCAAATGGTGTGAAAATCTTGAGAATTGAAGTCACTGCAAAAAGGAAAAAGTTACTGTACATCAGTTCATCGACGGCCACCATAATGTTTTCAAATATTTAAGATCCAAAATATGTTTTAAATGATTCCTCCTTTGACAAGTTGTTGAAGCTTCAAAAATTATGCAGACCTCACGAGACTAGACAAAAAAAGTATTAAAATATGGAAAATTGTTTCATGCGGGATGGACGCATTTCTACATATGGGATATAGAAAGTGTAAAGCAACCATCTTAAAAATAGATGCAAGTAGGTGTTGCATCTAAAAATAATGGAAACTAATAGTCCAAATGTTTTTTACTAGAATTATTATTTCTAGGTTTTAAAACTTATTTATTTTTTTATATTCATGATCTCCATGTTAGAGATTACATATCCTTAAAAATTAAGTCCTAAAATCCATCTCAAAAATATATTTATTAAGAGGCCCTCATTTCTACATATGCAGGCTTAGCCACATAGAAACTAGGCCCTTAAAATATAATGTATTTTCTCCTGGTCGTGGTTAGGATGAACTAGTGAAACTATGGGAAATTTTTTTGGATGGTTGACTCATTTAAATTAGTGAGTCCACAGACCCACCAAAACCCACCATTGTCTAAGTCATAAATAAGTATGGGTCATGGGATTTAAGATGGGACTGAAAGAAAGACCTATGTAATCTTTTATCGGGGAATACATTTTTTTTTTTTTTTCACCCATTTCTTTTGGCAAAAGATCACTAACATGTGGTCTTTATTATAATAAGATAAATTTCAAAATAAAATCAACATAACAATAAAACCAAGATTTTAACAACTTGATGCTATTGCAAGAACTATGCATTATGCTTGAGAATAAAAGATAAGATTGCAAGAAATAAAAGGAAGAGTTCCGAAGATTACCTCAACCGGGCTTATTACACCCTACACCAAGTCACCACCATCCGATGGCGCGGGATCAACGGTATAGCTTCAATCTCGAATCGGGAAAGCAAATTTTGGCCAAGCCACACCAATGGAACATGAATCCCTTCGATCACAAACTCAAACCCTAGGTGAATTCTCTTAGCAACCTAGTTTGGGAGAGATGGATTCTCTTTTTGCTAAACCCTAAAACCCTTAGCCATAAATCCATATTTGAGAGATAGGAGAGAAGCACTCCATAACCTAAACCCTTAGGTTCTTTCACTATGTGGGAGAGAGAGATCAAACATGAGAGAGATAAACTTTCTTTAGAGAGAGAGATAAAAATATAAGGTGTAGAAATTTGTTGGTAGAGACAATCCATTTTTATAGGCTTTGAATAATATTAGGGTTTCTTAGGGTTTTCTTTGGCTTGCCTTTTCTTGTGAGATTAAACATATACCGTTGATCAAGGGTGACTTGTGCGGTGAGAGATCTGAGTCATCCATTCTATAGATGGACCATCAACATTATGGAAGGTGCATGAACCATTACCCCCTTTTCTTAAACCATTTCCCCATCAATAGAAATTAAATAAATTAAATTTGATCAAAATATTTTGC